TCGCTTTTTCAGACTGATGAGCTTTGTAAAAATCGACGCGTTTCAGAAAGGCGGGGCATAGAGGAGAAACAATAATGTTTTTTGAACCTTAAACCGCATAAACACATTTCATTACACCAAATACAAAAAATAATGTTCTTTTTAGCAGCATCATATGACCCCTTTAAATGCAGCCTTGGTGAACATAAGAGGCTTTTCTTCAGAATGTAAAAGGCATTATTTAGGATTAATATATTTTAGTAACCCCTGGCCCTAACATCACAATGAATGACAGAATCATTTTGGTCTTGGGTTTGCAGCACATCATCAACGCATACAACAAACAGGCAGGCATAACTGTAGATGAAGCCAAACTCCAGTTCCTGAAGACGATCTCACAGTGGCCTACCTTTGGATGTGTTTTCTTCGAAGTAAAGGTAACCAGGGCAACACTAAAAATAACGCTCTTGTTACTTACGTAGCCTTGGTTCACTGAGATAAAGGAACGAGCGTTGCGTTAACATGTTATGAGGAAACTCCTGTTTACTCTGATACTGAAGCCTGATTTGATCACGTTTGTGTAGCTGCACGAACTAATGGTGCTTCAACCCGGCCAAAGGGGTGGAGCCGACTGCTATACAAGTCGGCTCTGAGCGCCATTTCATCAGAATCTTTTGACTGAAGCGACAGTCATCGACTCACGTGCAGCTTTATAGCATGGCAGCCTACACAACTCTAATTCCCTTATCTCAGGGAACCGAGGTTGCATAAGTAACCAGAGCATTCCCTTTCAAACGGTCTCTCCCGTTGCGATAACACATAACAAAAACCTTCTCCACTTACAAAGGGGATTAGGTAAACTTAAGTGGACAAAATCCATGCATGCAGGGAAGGGATGTCCAAGTTATAAAATCTGGTGAAGGTAGATGTGACGACTAGCCGGCAGCTGCACAGATATCACCAATTGAAATCAACATACACTCTAAGGGCCCAAACCTGGCAGAGTGGATTAAGAGCCTACTCATCCTCTGAATTGGTAAGAGCTAGAAGGGTAATGACTTGTGCTCTGAACAGAGTGAAGAGGATGACTCTACAGTGGTTAGGCACAAACTCAGACATGAAGCACTGACTGACAGTGCCTGCAGGTCACCCACTCGCTTGACTGACGCTAACAAAAGGAGGGCGGTCTTAAGCAACAGTTGCGGCAAGTCGGCTGACTGGAGCGGGTCGAAGGGAGGGACCCATAGGGCCCTGAAGACTATAGATAAGTCCCAAGTAGGCACAGTATGAGGACGAGGCGGATTCAATCTCAGAGCTCCCCTCAGAAACTTAACGACAAGATCGTTGCTGCCAATTGACTGGCCAGCCACGATAGAATGATTCGCCGTGATGGCTGCCACATATAATTTGAGCGTGTCCAGTAACTCTTGTAAAAAGATCAACACATGAGACGCATCACAAGAGGATGGGTCCTCGTTCCGTGCTGCACACCAGTCAGAAAAGACTGACCATTTAAGGGCGTAGAGGCGTCTTGTAGACGGGACTCTATCTTCCAAAATGGTATTATTCACACTCTCGTGGAGCTGTAAAGACTCCTGTCGAGGGGCCAAACATGAAGGCTCCACATCTTTAGTTGGGGATGTCAATTCATGCTCCTCGTTTGGGAGAGGAGGTCCGTCCTCAGTGGTATCAGCCAGGGGGCTGCTGATAACAGCTGAATCAACTTGGGGAATCATGTCTGATTCCTCCAAAGTGGGGCCACCAGGAGGACCGAACATCTGACTTCCCTGACCCGTCTGATGACCTGAGGAAGCAGGGCAGCTGGGGGAAGGCATACAGGCGAGTGCTGGGCCAATTGTGGGCTAGGGCATCTCGCTGCTTTGAAAGTAAATTGGGCAGTGAAAGTTGTCTTCTGAGGCAAAGAGGTCCACCTCTGCCCTCCTGAAGATAGACCAGATCATTTGAACCATTTGTTTATTTAGTCTCCATTCTCCTGTAGCTACATTGCCCCTGGATGGCATGTCTGCTCCCTGGTTCAGTCTACCCAGCACATGAACTGCTCTTCATGAGAGGAGTTTGCCTGTGCCTATAAAAGGAGGAATTGAGCCAACCTGTGAAGGGAGCGTGACCTGAGACTGCCTCGCTGATTTATAAAGTTGTCCGAACAGACCAGGATGTGGTGCCCCTTTAAGGCCGGCAGGAAGGTTTTTAGGGCTAGAAAATAATGCCATCATCTCAAGGCAGTTGATGTGTAAGCGTTGCTCCAGGTTTTACCAGGAGCGAACGCCGGTCTGCCCTCATACAAAGCTCCCCAACTCGAGTTGTAGGCATCTGTCGTGACCCTCTTCCTTCTGGAGGTCAGTCCTAATGGAATGCCTGATTGAAACAGGCAAGGGGTTTTCCAAGGGGCCACAGCTCTGATGCAGCTGTGGGTTACCCTGAGATGAAAGCATCCTCTGAAAAGCCCTGAGGGGACATGAAGTCCCGAGTCTGAATGACGCCTCTAGCTGCTGAATTATCAGGGAGCATTCCAGTGTAATCCATGCCCACATCTTGGCAGAATCGATAACTGTCCCCATGAAGACCACTCACTGGCTGGGAGACAGAGAGGTCTTGGCTAAATTAATTTTCAGCCCATGCCGCTACAGGTGGCTGAGCAGCAGTGACCTGTGAGCGATGGGTCCCTGTTCCGATCTGGCCAGCCAATTGCCTAGGTAAATCATAATGTGGATTCCCATCTGTCTCAGAGGGGAAAGAGCTACGTCCGTGCACTTCGTAACGTGCATAGGGCCAGAGGCAGTCTGAATAGTAGGAGTGTATATTCTCAAGAGCGGTCTGTGATGAGGGGCTATCTGGATGTGAAAGTGCGCATCTTTCAGATCCACTAATAAAAAACAGTCCCCTGGGCATATTTGCGCTAGGATCTGCTTCCAAGTCAGCATCTTGAATGGGCGATTTAAAAGTGCACGGTTCAGATGCCTGGGCCTGCCATTTTCCTTGGAACGAGGAAGTAGCAGCTGTAAAAGTCTGACTCACTGTTCGCTAGAGGAACCATTTTCACGGCTCCTTTTGCAAGCAGAGTTTGCACTTCAGACTGGAGAACTTTAGCATTGTTGTCCTGTTCCGAAGTTTGAATAATGCCTCTGAAACGAGGTGGTTTGCGAGCGAACTGAAGTGAGTAGCCTCATTCTACAGGGCTGAAGCACAGAGGCAGGAAGTGGCGAATGACTTGCGACTAGGGGTGTGCCATATCCACCATCCACGATAATACCGGTATACATTTTTACATGATAAAAAATCATATCGCGTCATATAGCGATATCAATGATATAGCGACGCAATGACATATGACGCATTTACATTCCCTAGCATGCACAACAACAACACCACAAACCCAATAGGTGTGTTCGACTTGAAGCAGCGCTGCGCAGACTGATCGGTGTATGACATTAAAGTATCGCAAGAGCATTTCTAGAGCATATTTGAGCGCACACTCTTAATGTCAAAAATAGGTGAGGCGCCCATCTTTAGTGAAGCGACGCAGAGAGCCGCTTCTGGAACGTACCACGGTGTGGCTGGTGTAAACACAAGCATTCAAGTCGAAAACACATAGCTGCTGCTGCCATTTATGACAATAGATTTGCACTTCGAATTAGGTAGTCTGTCATCGATGACAGTAGCTCATTGGAAAAGGATGGAAAATTCCCTTTATTTTGTTTGCGCTAATAAATGCTGCTGCCTGCCAACTGCAATCACCAATAAAACATTGTTCCATATTTTTTTATATGTCATAAATATCATTATCGCAAATATTCTTGAAATATCGTGATATAATTTTGAGCCTATATCGCCCACCCCTTGCGACGACTTCTGAGCTGCAGTAAAGTGCTTGCAAATCTGCCAGGCAGATGGTAAGTAGAGGTGTGCAGTGACCACCTCTTCTCTAGTGGGAGCTTGCCATACCCTCTTACTTCAACTTCTGGTTCAACTTCTGGGAAAAAACGGCACCAGTCTCTAGTGGGAGATTCGTTGACAACAACCCAGCGGGCATCATTCGTCTACACGGCTGTGGGCAGGCTCTTCCGGAGCCGACCATTCTAAACCGAGATTCTCCATAGCCTGGTGAGAATGTGAATCGGTTTGCTCTCCGCCAGCTCGTAATAACTCATTGGGGAGAAGGGTGTCAGGATCCTCTTCGGGGGAATGCCCAATCCTACAAATATGAAGCTGTCAGAGATGTAGAATCATCAGTGACAGCATTCAAACCACTCGTAGACGAGGGGCGCTGATTCTCACCTGTAAACCCACCGGCAGATCAAAGTGCTGCGCAAGACTCATGCTCTCGCAGTGAGAGCAGTCTGCCTCACTGAGCGCAGCCTCAGCATGGGCCTGGCCCAGGCGCATCCAAATCTGAAGCTGTCAGTGATATGGAATCATCAGTGACAGCATTCTCCTCTGATCCACCTAAAAAGATCAAACCGCTCGTTGTAGATGAGGGGCAATGATCCTCACATGTAAAACACACTGGCGGATCAAAGTGCAGTGGGGAGAGTACGAGAGACCTGTGCCGGAGTGAAATCACTCAAGCCCGGTTGCTCAGCCCCGTGACTCCACTGTTTCTTTCTCCGAGCTAGCTGAGAGGGGAGAAATGGAAGAGCAGGGCTGCCTTCATTGAAGAAGACAATCCGCGAGTGGAGAAGGGCGAGACTCATGCTCTCAGTGAGAGCATTCTGTTCCGGTGAGCGCAGTCTCTGCGTTGGCGGTGTCCAGACTGCTCACCTTGCCCATCTGCATCATGGCTTTTAGTGACCTTCTGCTGCTGGGGCTTCTTCTCACAGTGGCGAGCAGCATGGTGTGCCTCTTGCTTCGGCTTCTTGCTCCTTGAGTCCAGCAAGGTGATGATCTTCGTCGCTGAAGGAGAAAAATTCTGATGAAATGGTACTCAGAGACGACTTATATAGCAGTCAGCTCCACCCCTTTTGGTGGGTTGAAGTGCCATTGGTTCGTGCAGCTACACAAATGTGATCAAATCAGGCTTCAGTATCAGATTAAACAGGAGTTTCCCCATAGTGTGTTAACGCAACGGGAGTGACCGTTAGAAAGGAAACCCTAATTGCTAAGAAGGGGGGTTGTCTTCTTGACTCTGTCCTTTTTCTCACAGCAAACCTCAGAGAAGCGTTACCCCAGTGTTATTACGCTATCAATCAGTAAGCAAGGAGTTAGTATCATCAACCCTAAGGCAAAGGTACAAATCTGTCTGTATAATACATAATACAACTATAATGTACAGCCCAACTCAGCATTATCTAGTTTGTGAAGTTAACAAGTGTTTTGGCTGGCTTGCCTGCAGGAGGTGCTTGTGATGCATCCATTCAGTAAGATCACTTCCTGGTCTAGTGGAAACACCTATTTTCACTTGACCATTGGCAACCTGGTGCAGGGCAACACTCTGCTCTGTGAGACCTCTGTGGTAAATATAGCACACACACACACCTATAGCAAGTGTCACCTGTGCATATGTTAATATCCTCTGACTGTTTGTCTTGCAGGGTTATAGAATAAGTGATCTCCTGTCCTCTTACAAGGACATGTATCTGAATGAGATACCAAGGGTGCGGAAATCAAAGAGGATCAACATGTAGTACAATTGTTTTTGTGGCATTTCTTTTTTAGATCTTTACCATAATGATTGTACTATGAATTTGTTCATGTAATGTTTGGAGAATTGCATAAGTAAAAAATTACATTTAATAATCATTAAATTCATCACATTTTAATATGTAACAGTAACTAGTATAGATCTGTCAGGGAAATCATAATGTTTTTGCTTGTTGCTTCTTCTATGTGCATATATATTTTAAATAAATTTATAGGCTTGAGTATTTATTTTTATTTCAATAGTCCACCTTCTTATTGACTTTGCATTGCAATGTTACACTAGGTGGCAGTATTTTTACAGTTTTATTCTAATCTATCTAACACTGCTTTGATGGAACAATCATATTTAACAATAAAATGTAAAAATCAATATGACTCTTAATTTAAATTTTAATTAACGAATGATGACTAGTTGAACAATTTGTCATCAATAATAATATTCCACAATTTAAATTGCACTAATTTCATTTATTGCACTCATTTAGCTCATAATAATTATACATAGATTGTGTTACTGAATACTGATATGATATATTTGAATTTTGATGTCCTAAACTGTAATATATAGTGCACACACACACACACACACATATATATATATATATATATATATATATACACACACACACATTACTGTATAATATACACTACTGCTCAAAAAGTTTGGGGTTGGTAAGATTTTTAAAATGTTTAAAAATCAAAAAACTAAAAAAGTAAAAAAAAAAAAAAAACGTAAAATATTATTATTCGGGTCATTTGAAATAACTTTTCTGTTTTACTATATTTTAAAATGTAATTTATTACTGTGATGGCAAAGCTGAATTTTTAGCAGTCATTACTTGTCATATGATCCTTCAGATATCATTCTAACATGCTGATTTGGTACTCAAGAAACATTTATTATTGTTATCAATGTCTCTTGTAATGTTATAAATGTTTTCACTGTCACTGTTCATCATTTTAAAGCATCCTTACTAAATTAAAGCATGCATTTCTTTTGAACGGTAGTGTACATTTGTATTTCTTAAATAATTTTATTTACTACTGCAGATGTCCAAATCCACAGAAAAATTGGGATTTTCTTTTAGGACTTTTCGGATTTTCACAGCCTCTCTTGCTGTTTAATTCTTCCACTAAACCAAAAATATCCCAGCCTGCCTCTCTCAACCCCTGGCCTCTTGACCAGCAATTCAGCCATTCCATGAAACTGAAAGAAAGCCTTGTGCTAAAACTGGAAAATCCAGCATGAATGCTCCACAGCAATCATGGTAATCGAGTGTAGAGCACACTTTTTGGCCCTGATGCACACTTTGCCATGTGCTCACTATTACCGAATAATAACACAGGACCCTGGGTAGGAGAGGGAGAAGTCAGAAACACAACACTTCACTGTGGGGGGCTCAAAAGGCCATTTTATTCATGTCATGCCTAAAACGTGAAATGTATCCACTTCTCTTCAGCCCTGAGCCTCATTTTGTCTTACCGACATGAGCCTCATGTTATTAGAAACATGTTCTTGATACCACAACGTCATGGAGCCTTACTAACCCAGGCTGACATCTGAAACCTTCAGTCTGGAGCTATTTTACTGTTGAAACCATAAGATGCTGTTTTTTTTTTTTTTTTTAATTTTTATTACAAGCACTGCTGTCTTTGAGCAGTAATGGAGCAATTGTATCAGTCAACAGACCTTCTTGTAAACCTATAAAGGATTTACAGAACAAAAACAAATTATTGAAATATTACTTGGAAAAGTAAGTAGGCAGTTAGTAGGGGTAAATTAAGGTGAATTGGGGACACTTTTTGCCATTGAGATGACTGGGAAAAAAATCTGTTTTCTATTTTAATATATTTTAAAATGTAATTTATTCCTGAATTTTCAGCAGCCATTACTTCAGTCTTCAGTATCACATGATCCTTCAGAAATCATTCTAATATGCTTATTTGACGATCAAGAAACATTTATTATTATTATTATCAATGTTGAAAACAGTTGTGCTGCTTAATAATTGCTGCTTAATACATGAAACTTATTTTTAATTATTGAACTAAATGTATTTAGTTGATGGCTTGCATTCATTTTTTAACTTTGACAACCCTACATTTTGTAAAATATTTTTTTTCATAGCACCGTATCACCCCCTTGCAACTCAATCTGTGGACTCAATCTGTATTGTTTTGAGACTCTCACAGGCAGTTTTTTTTGGAAAGCGTTCCATTGTGTTCTGAACTGTCACATTACTCATGCCAATTAATTGATCAGGAATGCTTTAAAGGGCTCATATGATGTTGCTAAAAAGAACATTATTTTGTGTATTTGGTGTAATGAAATGTGTTTATGCGGTTTAAGGTTCAAAAAACACATTATTTTCCACATACTGTACATTGTTTCTCCTCTATGCCCCGCCTTTCTGAAACGATTTTTACAAAGCTCATCGGTCTGAAAAGCGAGGTGTGCTCTGATTGGCCAGCTATCCAGTGCGTTGTGATTGGCCGAATACCTCAAGCGTGTGACGAAAATGTTACACCCCTTACCATACTGTGACGCCGTGTCCCGGTGCAATGAGTCAAAAACATTGAAACCCATTATAAACGAGGCATTTGTTGCATCCAGTGGGGACATAATTACGGATTAATGACTTAGATACTGTCTTTTTATGCGTTGCATTTGTGACCGGAGAAATTACAATTCACACACATCTGAATATTTGGGTTGAACTGTTCTGGAAAAGTGTTGTAAATACAACTTAACCACTGATTTCTAGTCGTGTCTTCTTTTGGAAGGCCAAACAAAGTATTTTCGCTTTCGCAACGAAACACAGTCTTCACAACATGGTGCGGCGGCAGCAACAATGAAGTTGCACCTTCTTTCTTTGTGTAAACATTTGGGCGGCGTTATGCAAATCTTCCCACAACGTGACGTAGACATGTGGGGGCGTGTTTAAATGAGGCGTTTTAGGAGGGCGTGGACCAGTCTTAACTTTTATAAAGAATATCTCTTTGGGTTTGAGACTTTAGTCTTTGCAACTTTAGGGATCTTATCTATTCTCAAACAGCTTGCAACACTCCAAAGAGAAAGGAAAACTTGAAATCGCATCATGTGACCCCTTTAATGCATTCCTCTAAATAAAGAGCCCAGCAAAGGCAATCATGGCCAAGTGCTGAGACTTTCAAACAGCAGCTCTGAAAAATGCAGTCATGCACATGACTAGCATTTGAAATGCTGCCATTCCTAACCATTAAAATGCATGATGGTAAAGAATTAGTCATGGATGGGGTATGTGTGGCTCCTTGTGGTTTTACTGCTCTTCATCATTGCACTTGCACTATTGCAGTCATGAGGTATGGTTTGGATTGTGGTATAGTTTAAAAATATGAAGGCAAGTTTGCTTTAATTTATTCCCCTTGCAGCATGATTCAGATCTATCATTCAGAGAGAGTCCAAATTGAAGGTTATTCCATCCAGTCATCAATCAATGCTGGAAATGTGTGCGGCTGAAGTAATCAATCTACTCTCTGAGAGCACAGCACATCCAACCAACATGTGCCAGACAATAAACAGGGCATTTTTTAGTTTATAAAGCTGACCTCATTCATGCTGGATTCATTTGAAAATCAATCCTGTATTCAGAATTGTTTGGTTCTTGGCTGATTGTGCTGACCCAGAATTCATCTAACATCTAAACTGATGTTGTTTTTCAACAAACACCAATGACCGCTTTAATTCACCCTCACTCAAACAGATAGAAAAATTCATATTTGCTGCCGTTCCTCATTTCAAGCTTTAGGAATGTGCCCTTTGACCTTCAAATGCTCCACGGCCCTCCATTTTATTCATGTTGAGGAAGAAATCCAAGGGTAAAAATGTCAAGTGCTTCTCAAAAGTCAAAAGAATGTTGGCAGCCTTTCTCTCTGTGAGGAGGAAAAGGTCTCCACTGTGCTTATAAACAAGATGAATTGCAGTGTATCGCATGTTTCCTGGTTCCCATACAGGCTGTAACTGCCATAAAAATGCTAAACCTTTTCATTCCAACCAAGAGGATTTTCTCAGCTTACATAAGCTCACCTGGATCCAAGTTTGTTCTTGTGTTGGTATGAAGATCCAGTGCCACAGTGTCGTCATCATGTTTGCCTGTTAAAATGTTATTTGGTTAAAGATGGTTTATTGCAAATATTGAAAGCAAATGTGAACATTGTCAGTGTATATAGACGAGGGTCATGAACTCTCCCACGTGATGGAGTGCTATTCCCCCTGGTTTCTATTATCAGTTTAAATGGCAATGCTGTTATGATTTATACACTCTACTTAAAATGTTCTGATACTGAGTCATGATCATCCATAACTATATCTATTATCACTCACTGAATAATTTTTTATATGTTGGTCCTGACCTTATATGTTGATCCTTATTGACAGTGATCTACGTTGAATGTTTGCTTAAAGAACTGCATTTGAAAGCAGATGTATTTTAGAGGTATTCAACCTGGAACAAAAAAAAAATGATTCACTGATTCATTTGAATTGTCCTTTAACTTACCCTTCCCTCCTTACTGGCCAATCATACTTTATGTTGTTAAATTATCCGACAAACTTTTGCTCTTTTTTTATTTTTATAGGCTGTCCTGTGAGTTAGGGTAGTTTTTAATGAAATTTGACAGAAATCATTCAGACATTTTGGAGAAAAAAAATCTGTTTCCTTGAATAAATATCATATATCCAATTTCCTAGATTTTTGTTGGAAATTGTTAAACTGTTAATTTGTTCTTGATGCATTTTTTGTTTGTTTGCTTACTTTGTTAGTTGTCTTTGGTGTACATTAACTTGGTTTGATGCTACCCATCCTAATATCCTATATTTCTTGTACCAGATAAATACTGTTTTTGTTTGATAATCTTTAAATATAAAATTTAAATTTATGCATAAATGAACAATGGAGGTCATAATCAGAGGCATTACTACTGTAGCAAATATGTAAGACGTGGCCGTGTTATTTCCAACAACAAGCATTGTTCACTCTTGTTACAACTGAGACCTGAATTCCTGAGATTCCTTCATCAATCAATCTTTTGTCTTTGAAATGTTATGGACTTCCCATCGACTTTATAATTTCAGTTTAATTAAGTATAATTAAAACCATAAACTATA